GCTGATAAGACAGCAGAGGAGGCGGAGGCGTTGCCTCCATCTGCGTGGTCTCACGTTGAGATCCCGCCTCAGGTTGAGCATGGGGCGATTTGGCATCAGGACTCGTATGGCAAGGCGGTGCGTGGGCGGAATCGTGTTGTGTCTTATCCGTGGCATAAGTGGCAAGCTGGCGATGGGGAGAACCTGGATATTTGGCTTGCTTTGGAGTTTAACCCTGATGTGGAGCTGTGAACGGAGACGTGACACAAAGTCCAGTGCTATTCGAGGCAGCTTGGGAAACTGTCACTGTCTTCGGGTATATTCGAAGATATCAAATATCCTCGACGAACGCGGACAGTGTGCGTCGCATAGACCTTGCCTACGGTCACATTCCGGCCACAAAGTGATCGAGGGACAATGATATCGTAGATGATAACATTCCATCTATTCATCTCCCTGCATATATGCACCATGATATAGCAGAAAAGATCGAGTCTCTAGGTATGTACAAGAATTGAAGTCTAAGATAGCATAACATTGGCAGTAAATACCCAGACGCCCGAACACTCGCTTGCGCGTAGTCCCACATAAATGATCGCTTAGGTGATGCGTGAATGATGGTGGTGTAGCGTGGCGTAACGTAAAAACCCCAATTGGGACGTCCAGCCCCTTTTCCAAACCCTGTTCCCCGGGGTGCATTTTTATCCAATTCATTTATTGGAGCGCCTCATTTCCTTTTTTTTCGATTCGGAAGAGTGACTTAGCCAGACACAGACCAAGAGACGCTTGAGCGACCGACACCAAGATCGCCGAACAGCTCAAGGAAGAGCTTCTCAGAGACATCGATGCTGCCGGACGCGCAACCGGGACACTGGTCGCGGGCCTGCCCCTTAACAGTCTTGCCGTTGGCCGTGATGGTGAGCTCTTTGCCGCACCAGGGGTTGAGAGGCAAGTCGATACCAGCGTTGGTGGCCAAGGTGCCGAAGGCTCCCCAGTCACCGACAGCGATGGCTACGATGGGCATAGAGTCGTCCTTGCCAGTGTCATCGTAGCCGCAAGCGCCGAGACCGACAGTATAGTAAGTGATGTCACCGGAGTACTGGGTGCCGCTTCCTGAGTCTCCTGAGCCGCCCGAAGAAGCTGTGTTAGTGGCTGCAGGCTCCGAGGTGGTTGTTGAGGGAGCAGGGGCAACGCTTGTGGTGGTGGGCTCCACTACGACTACAGAACTTGAGGTAGACGACGTTGACAAGGTAGAAGAGGTAGAGGAGGTAGTGCTAGGTGGAGGAGGAATGGATGTCGTCGTGGGCGTTGCTGGCGCAGCCTTCTCCGTGGTGGTAGGAGTCTCAGCAATGACAACCTCGGATGAGCTTGTGCTCGTGCTAGCAGCAGAGCTGGTAGTAGTGCTGGGCTGGAAGAATTCGCCGGGTGCGCCGGGGGTGGTAGTAGGAAGAACAGTTGAGGTAGTCTCGTCATCAACGATGACCGTCACAGTCTCCCAAACGGTTTCCCAGGTGGTGACAATGTCCCGCTTGGCGTGGAGGCGCTGGTGAAGGTGGTTTCCGTGAGGTTGAGCGACAGCAACGCCGGCCAAGACGGCGGCGGCAGCAACAGATACAGACTTCATGGTGTCTTGTTTGTTGTGTTATTTCTTGCTTAAAAATTGCGCGTGAGGTCCAGCCAGGGTATCTTGGTTTAAAGCAATCAGAAGGGACCGCGTGTTGTTGTTATGTTGGACTCTTAAACGTGTCTGTCTTTGTTTGACGAGGCGTTTCTGTTGGCCTGGGACTGGATGGTGGTTCGACTTTCAGTTGCAGTGGCTTGACTGTGGTTCCCCAGCTCTGTTGAATTCGTTCGACGAATGAGTGTTGCGAGCAAGTGTCAGATAAATGAATGTATACAGTGAGCACTGCTCAATTGAAAGAATGTACGAGTATGGGTTGGGTCACGAAAAACTGTGAGGTAGGAGAGGAGGAGGGAGGAGGGCGAGGTTGGAAGCGAAAGGATGTCTCTTCTTTATCACGCAACAGGACTAAGGAAAGCTCAAAAGCCCCAGCCAACGGGGACACACCACATGGGAAGGGCAGGGTCACAGAGCAAAGCCTCAAAATGGCACCGACACGAGCAGGGAAGAAGCCTGGAAGACGGGGAAATGGACCGGGGCATGTTCCCTTGAGGCTTGAGCACCTCGTTCCCAGAAAACGGCCAATGGGGGCTGGAGGGAGAGGAGCCAGGTGAGCTGTCTCCTCATCCTCTTTGTCTTCCAGGTTCTCATTCGCCTCTGCAATTTGTTTCCCTCTCGTTGTTTTCGCCTGCGGTGCGACGGCGTGATGGGTCGACGATGCTAGCGCGCCCAGACCGATGCCCAGAATCAGATTCTCCCCGTTTCAAAAACAACGCCGTCCTCTCTTCCCCGTCTCCCCGGGCCAAAGTAGCCTGCATCTGGCATAACGCATTTCACTTTTCCATCTAGTTATTGACAAGTACCAGTCAATCACCATTGTATTTAGAAGCCCGCTGCATCGTCGAGCTGAAAACCGCCCAACTTGTTTCGTATGAAAGATGCACAACTTGAAGTCGAAAGGTAAGAGCGAAAGCATGGACGGCAGCGTCGCAGTGAAATCTCTGGGCAGTGGGAGACCTCCTGGGCCCTGGGCTAATGCAAGGCACCGCTGTTGCGCCCTCGCCGTCAGCATGCTCCTCAGCCAATCATCGTCGCTAACTGACGCCCACCCCTGGATGGCTTCCAAGTGCTGATTAGCCAGCTGCAATTCAGTCCCGTTCCTGGCGACCCCCGTCTGTTCCGCTCCCCGTGCGCGCACACATATCCTCTGCAAATCCTTGTGATCCTTTGCTGTCTGCCTGCAGCAGCTGGGGGGAAAAAAAAAACAGCTCAGCGGCGCAATGGCTGAGTCCACAAATAGGACAAGAAGCCGTCATTAAGTGTAGCCTTTGACGCTCATGCTCAGAATTTGAATTCTGTGTTGCCTTGGGGCGGAAACTCAGTTCAATTAGAATTCTCAAACCGCTACTGACAGAAAACTTTCCATTCTCTCGGGTGTAGAATGATCATGACTTCAATGTTGTTTAAAGAAGTCGAAAGTATGCAAAGTTTAAAATAGTGAATAACACCTCGGTCGATTTGCCAATAGGGCGCCGCTTTCCAAGTTTCTCATCCGTACAGAATACAGTCAGTAGCTTGGATGAGGGAGGGTAACGAGCACCGCCTCTCTCTCTTATCCCGATCAACCACGTCGCAAAGACCACTTTCGCCGTGCCATGTGTACATGCATTAGCTTCGTTCCTCAGGCTAGAAAATCATCAAGTTCATGGCAAGTCTGTCTCTTACATGCAATGCAGCAAAAGTCATACATTGTGCTATGTCCAACCCAGTGAAGACTTCAGTGTCCACTGCCCACACGCAGGTTACGGCGCCCTCTCTAATTTCGACAGCGAAATTCGAGTTCATGCATGCAATGCATTCGCCTCCGCCCCGAAAGCTGGGATCTTGGATCTTGCTGAACGAAATGCAATGTAATTAACGCGCAGCTGAAGAGGGGAATGAATATAAACTGTATCCCCTTAAGTGCGTGTTCAGCTCCAGTACATGCCCGGTGGGCCTCAGGGTTGACTTATCGATACATCGGACCAATCAAATCACTGCCAGGCCACTCTAGGCGACTCTGTAGGCGACTTCTCAATCAGACGGCTGTCCAATAAAAACTACATGTTAAATCCGGATAAGTGATCGATTGGCCCGATGTATCGATAAGTCAACCCTGAGGCCCACCGGGCATGTACTGGAGCTGAACACGCACTTAAGGGGATAACAGTGAAAATCGGCTGAATATGACCTGTCTAATGCAAGGTCTAGCAGAGAATACGTATTCGTAGCGTCGTCCCATTTCTGCATGTGCTTGGGTTGGTAACCCGCAGTCTGATCTCATCACCTTGACCTCGTTGTGCCATCATCAACTTTCCAGTCAGCAATCTTCCCTTACATACAGAACGACGTCTGAGTTTGAAGGGTTTGTGCGACGCAACGTGCTGTCAAATGAGAACCCAGCTTTTCCGACGGCTATCGGGTAAGAGAGCCACAAGAGTTGAACAAATGAAGACGTTAGTACCTTAAAGGTCGAGATCCCGGATTGAAGCTGGAGCTTGGGGATACATAGTTTGCTGCTGTAGTTCTCTGCGATTTATCCGTTACAAATAAAACTGACTCCATAACATGCAGTCCGATTCCCGACATCTTCGGCGCCACTCCGCGTTGTGCATCTGTAACTTCCCGCAATGGTAGAAACGTGGCAATGGAGTCACCGGCCCTCTTCTCAATAGACACGACCGAAAGATTAGATCGCCGACCTAATGGTTAGAACTATATCACATCAATGCAGCTATCCACGGCGATCTACTCAAATCTACTCCTGTAAGCATCGGACATGTTTGAGCGACTTCGAACTGGAGGTGATCATTTGTCGATTAAACCCCGAGAAACGTAAAGAAGAAGAGTCACTCATGAAGAACAACTTTTTGGTGTATCACCTGGTGAATATTGGTTGTGCTGCGACCTGCCACCTGCAAAGAGTGAGGGGAAAGCAAATCGATTCAAACAGCTAGCTCCTGTTCATATCATTGGCCAACTGCGTCTCACTGTCTTATCTCACATATGTTGTTGACCGCACCTGTTCACATACCTAGACCTCGTGGGAATTATTTCAGTTTTCTCAATCTCTTCCAACTGCGGCATCCTCAACAAACAGAAATCCGAAACGCCCAGAGGCAAGTTTACCCGTTTCCCCATGTAAGCTTACATACGCACTCTTACGTACACAGACAGGCCTTTTATGCACTCCCCATCCAACATTCTTGTCCTCGCCCAACCAAAATCCATGCATTCTAAACCTCGGATTATCCGCCCCATTAGGATTCCCAAACTTCATGATCTCTCGCTCACCGAGTCAATCTTGTCGACCCTCTACATAATCGACATCACAATATGGCCCTTCAACGAACAACGACCTGGTCGGTTAGCTCAGTTGGTCAGAGCATCGCAATCACATCATCTTACTACGGTTAAGGGTCCTGCGAAGGTCATAGGTTCAAGCCCTATACTGACCAAACGTTCTCTTTTTTGCCCTCTCCCTCTCCGGAGAGCTTGTTTTGTTCCTCGGATTGTCCGTCTTGGATATATGATGAATCTTACTACACTCCCTTTCAACAAACAGGTCGGTTAGCTCAGTTGGTAGAGCATCTCAATTACACTGAGAAGGCCATAGGTTCAAGCCCTATACTGACCATCTTTTTCCTTCCTATCTATATGCTACTCATTTTCTTTTCGTCTTTTTGCCAGCGAGACAGTTCACGCTATCCAACATGCTTGTTCTCTTCTACATGGAATCAAATGAGTACTTCGAAGTTACCATGCTGTGTTTTCTTTGGCCTTGAAAGCTTTTCATTAGACTGGAACGCATCAACAAAAAAACCACTACACGCGAAATAGAGCGCTGATACAACTATAACAGCAATTCGAAAGTGGCGTAAAGAAGACTTAGCTAGAAATAAGGCGTGGAAACGCAATTTCAAGGCGCTCCCATCAACAACACAACAGATGTAAGCGCCGACGTAAACGTAAAGACAACCTTTTCGGACACCGATGGCGGTACATATTAGCTATAGACGTGGGGTGACACCAGTCAGCAACACGCAGAGTACTAGCAAAGCACAATCCGAAATGCGGAGAGCATGTAATTCCGCCCACTTCTTGCATAAGGTAACCATTTGATAGGCTTTATTATCTATCCCTCTATGCACCTAGAAACCCTCCATTGCTCTTCACACGCCTAAAAACCATGACCAATCCCGACTCCTCATAAGATTTCCTTTCCGGCTTCTACTTGCGTTCCCAATGTCTCTGCCTAGCTCCTTTGCTGTCCCTTCTTACCAGTAAAACTAAACAAGTGCAACCCCTGCCTGCTCCAAACCGGTCTATCAACATCCTCAAGATCGGTAACAGTGAATTTCTTCCGCGCCTGTTTAACGAACCCCATGTCCGCTCGTCTCCGCTTCTTGAAGCAGAAGTAGATCACGGCGTCGGGACATAACTCCAGAAGATCAGAGAGCGTCTTTTGGAGGAGGGGGAATGCCGGCTCGAAGTATACGCATTCCGCTGCTAGGATGACATTCGGTGGGTTGGCCATGATGTTGGGTGGTAGTGGTTCGCCCCTATGTTCGTTAGCGGGATGAGATGTACGAGCGTGGTTATGGGCAGCGATCTGGATAGGAAAGGGACAAAAGTTTAAACATGCGGATGAACTCACCAGTTCAAAACCTGCGCCTCAACCCTACGCCCTAAGCCATTAAGCCCGATATTATGCTGCATGAGCGAGTACATCTCAATCTGATCAGTCATGATCAATTTCTCAGGCTCGTCTCCCAAGTCACAGCCCGCCGCAACAGCAAGACCGACAAGCCCACCTCCGGCACCGAGTTCAAGTCTGTTCATTCTCGTCAGCCTCTCTGTCTCTCGAAATTTGCTCCTGTCACCAAAAACTTACATCCTCGCACCCCTCAACCCACCCCGTGCATCCTCCCCCTTGCCATGATACCGCAACAACCACCTAGCGAGCACCATACCAGCCGGCCAGAGCTGACCGCCACATCCATCCTTCAGGTCCTCATGTAATTTCAACTTCGGGCCTGTTAACAAGCCGCCGAAATCCGTTTCCGTCGTTCCGGCATCTTTATACTGCGGCAGTGGCGTGTAGTCTTTCGCCAGGGACAGAGGTGAGAATTCCTTTTCGGATTCTGTGTCCGAGGTGGCGTCTAGTTGTGAAATCCCCTGAGTACCTTTAGACTGAGGCGAAGTGGCGGTTGGGGGTGTGGGAAGAGCGGCGGGCATGTTGACGGTGGCGGGTACGGTGGCCGAAGACGGTGCGGATGGCGAGGGTGAGATTGGAAGCTCTGTGACTGCAACTTTGAGCGTGGGCTCTTTGGCGTCTGGTATTGATATCATGTTATATAATGTGTCTTGAAGCCAGTGAGACACTGGGTGAGGTTAGGTCGAGATAGCGTCAAAGGGTTGGTGTGTGAGTCGTTGGCGTTGGAAATGTTTATTCGAAGGGGTGAAATGGTTGTGTAACGGTCACATGGGACTTGATGTTTCACAGAGGCAAGCACAATTATTCAGGATCGAATCACTCATCAATCGTCTCACACATACTAGGTACAATATCTAACCGTTTGACTTCGCAGGACACGTTTTCTCTACTCCCTTGCTACGTGAAAGTGGACAGGAAATGTGTTGGTGGGTGAGGTGGGTTGCGAAACTTCCGGAAGCACGAAATCCACAATGCAGTGACGTTCTAGAACATGTCCGACCGGAGTCACCATATTCGCCTCCCGTGACGATCTTCTTCCAGGTTATCCTAGCTGCCCTCCTACCTTATCGACAAGTCCTAGGTCGGGCACCGATATAATCATCTGGTGTCCTGTCACAAAACGCCGTTACGGAAGGCCTGATCAGATAAGGAGGTGGGTCAGTTTAAGACCCTGAATCCTCAACAAAACTCCCTATTTGTTAGAAACGGCATTAAATCCCTTCCAAACGGGAAACCTCACTTATATTATCGTCATTATTAAATAAGCTTCATACCCGTATTGAACCCCAGAATGGTACGGCTCCTATCAGATATAACGAATGTGCTTACGATATAGCATTCACTATGCTGCCAAAATAATGAAAGAGTAGGTCATTCTGGTATATATGTCCTTACCATACCAAATACATGATGCTATGCATCATCAATGCTAAATGCACCCGCCAATCGTTATGCAAACATATCGCACCCATAAGGACATACAAACGGACCGATCACTCATGGGATTGCCATAATCACTCATGCCAATCTTATGACTAGTACGTCACCTCCAATCCGCCTATGCTTACGACTGCTCCTCCTCAGCAACATAGTGCAGATAAGCACCTAGAAGCTTGATACCCTCAATGTAGTTCTTCTTGTCCAATTTCTCGTTGATAGAGTGTGCGCCATCCGTCGAGCTACCCATGGGCAGCAACAGAACATTCTTTCCGGTAGCTTGCTCGAAAGTCAACGTCACAGGGATACTAATAGTTAATGTTAGTGATAGCTTCATCATCATTTGCAGGCGAGAGAATCTCTCACCTTCCGCCCTCTCTCGTGAAATCGGGCTGCACACCCCAAACACGCTCGGTGGCCTTTGAAGCAGCCCGGAAGTTCCAGTGGTTCGGACTGGCAACCCACCACTTGCCGCAATGCTGCGCGTAAACCTTCAACGTGTTCTTCGAGCCAAGCTTGGCGAAAGCATCCTTGACGTAGCTATATACCGCCTCATTCGTCTTGTCGATATCCATATCCGGTACGGTACGAATAGAGAACTTGCCAATAACCTTGGCCGGGATGACAGTCTTGGCGCCAGGTGCAGAGTAGGCACCCTCGATACCGTGGACGGAAAGCGAAGGATACCGCCAGCGGGCCATCAGAGTGGGCTTCTTGTCCTCAAAGATAGTCGTCTTAGAGCCGAGGGATTCGTGCAGAGTCTCCATTGTGAATGCGATGGAGTCGTAGAGGCCCTCTTCGTCTGATGTTACTGGCGCAACTTGCTCGTAAATGCCGGGGATCTGGATCTTTCCATCTGTAGCAACAAGGCTGCCCAAGACACGCACCAAATCAGTCATAGGCTCCTGTGCGGTACCGCCAAAGACGCCACTGTGCAGGTCAGCGCCGGGACCAGAGATCTCGACGCTGTAGTAGTTGCATCCTCGTAGACCATACGTCAGGCAAGGCTTCTCGGTACCAAGCCAGTAGTTATCACTGATACAGACAGCGTCGGCATCAGCGAAGTAGCCCTTACCCTCCTTCTCGATAAGCTCGTCGAGACCCTCGGAACCGTACTCCTCCATACCCTCGAAGCACATGAGCAGGTTGACAGGGAAGTCAACGCCAGCTTTCTGGTGGGCGTCGATGGCGTTCAACCAGCCAAGGACAGGGCCCTTGTCATCGGTGCTCCCGCGACCGAACATACGGCCATCCTTACCGACAGACAAAGTGAAAGGCTCAGTGTTCCAACCATCGCTCTTCTCCGCGGGCTGGACGTCGTAGTGGCCGTATACCAATATGGTGCGCTTCTTCTTATCGTTGCCGTAGCGAGCGAGGACAACAGGTGGCAGATCGAGGTGTGGCCTGCCGGGCTCCTTGCCTAGGGGCCGCAGTTCCACTTCGGCGCCGAGAGACTTGAGCTCTGCGCCCAGCCACTCGCCCATACGGACGACGTCGGGGCGGCGGGCATCCTCGGAGGAGATGGAGGGAATGGCAACGGCTTTGGAGAGACGGTCGATGAAGTGATCGGACAGCTTGTCCACTTCGGCGAAGTAGCTGTCGAGCTGAGGAGCCATCTTGCGCGCTTGGTGGGCTTGGATGGCGGGAGAGAGATAGGTTCGCGTGTGGCTGGAATGAGAGAAGAGAACTGGACGTGGTATCGGAGATGCACGGGAGAATGGGGAATATGCAGAAGAGAAACGATGAGAATGAGAATGAGGATTAAAGACACGGAAAGAGTTGGCCGTCAGCTGTGCTCGTGATGGCGCAAGGCGCGAGGAGGAAGGCAGGCGCATGAGGAGAGTGCGGGGCATTGGTAAGGGAGAACGAGGTAGAAGATACATGAAAAGGAGGGGCTATGTACATGCAAAGCTAAGTCAAACAGGCTACGATTATTATACAGAAGATGGTACAGGCAGAAGCGGGTGTTTGTCTCGGTTACCGAGAGCTTATTGGGTGAGGAAAGAGGGAGGGGAGTATTGGGAAGTTGGCACGTCGAGAGATATGAGATAGGCCGTTTTTCCAAGCCAGTGCGACCACTGACAGGTTTTCTTATTACTGCCTGCTCCACCTGATCTCAACGGCTATTCGAGGCTCTGGCCTGCCGCCTGCCCCATGCGGAAGGCCATCGGGAATGCTAACACCTTGGCGGTCGGTTTTAATGTCGTCTTTTGACCTCGTCAGTTGTTGCGGCTCAGACCAGATGCTCTCTATGGCAAGTAATATATTCGTCTAGTCGTTTGTTTACACTAGAAGCAGTTCTTG